AAAAATTAAGGATTTAATCCGCATTGAAGCGGCGGATTAATGATATTTTAATTTTTTTATTATTGTTGATTCAAAAACTCGTCCCGCCAAACCCATCCGGCCAACTCATTTATTTTATTAATGTTGATCTTATTTATGATATGATTCTGAATCATTGTCTAAATATTTTAATCGATGAACGTTGAACACACATTTTTGTCAATTGGATAATATATGTCCGTTTTTAAAATTTCGAATCACAGTATATGGAGAAAAAAAATTGATTTTTTTTTTATTTTATATATTATATGATGATTCAAAACAGTTAAAAACAAATCAAACAAATATGATAGGAGAATCATAATTCTAAATCTTAATCAAATATTCTAAATATCTAAATTATTAAATATGGAATATCCGGTGTATGAATTGGGTTAAGTATAACCCGACCCAACAAACTTTTTATGACCAAAATTTGTAAACGGGTCGGATATCCAAAGTATCCGAGAATAATTTTACCCACCCGACTGAAAAGTGACTGCAAAAATACTAGTATAGATACATTTGGTCATCTGTTTTATATTTATCTTAAAATTAGGTTTTTGCATAATCTGTGATTTATCTACATTATTAATACTTGATTACTTATTTTTATTTTTGATGTATACGTGAACACATAGATATGATGGAAAACACATTATACATCATATCCTTAACATGATAATCTTTCAATCTTGTGATATTTTTTATTGTTATTTTTTCTCCATAGCTAACCAAAGTATGTTAGAAATCAATTACCATGTATAACATAGTCATATTTTGTTTATGCGCATTCAAACTAATTTGTATAAGAGATAAGAATATATATATTCTCTCTAACTTAAACATTTTTCTACTAGTTACTCCAAAAATATATTTTTTACTTACAATAATTTTTTAATTATTTTTTTTGGTAAATTTAGTTTAATTTTAAAAATCAAAATCCACACATTGGACAGATCTTAATCTAGTTACTATAGATAACTAGGACTCAAGATCCCATGTGATGTTGTGGGATAAAATATTACAAAAATCTTTAGATAATTAAGAATTTTAGAAAATCTCAAACTAAAAATAATGAATATTATTAAATCTTTTTAAAGTATATGATAACGATGGAATTGAAATTATCTAATAAAGGAGAACATAGAGTTATAGAGACATAGAATGTTAAATATACACATTTGTGAGTAAAAATCTAAACTATCAACAAGAAAAATTATGAAAAAAAAATGTGAACATAATTTAAAAAATATCTATGGTGAAGAGACGACTCTAAGGAGAAAAGTTTCAAATGAAAAGCCATAATGAAACGAGACAATTTTGCAAAAAAAAAAATTTTTAGTGATAACGAATATAAGATAAAATTTACGAAGAGTTATGATAAATCTTTGGAAGTGTCTATTGGAATTTATATTATAAAAAAAAAATATCACCAAGAAAAGACACAACTTTTTTTTTGTTGCTTCAATGCAGGTAGGACCAGAGAACATATTCAATCCAATATTTGTGTTAATTTTTATAAAAAAAAAAGCTCAAGATCATAGAGATAAAGTCATACGATCAAACATGTTTAATTTTATAGCATATGGTAACAATGTAAGACTACAAGGTTTATCCATCGATCGTCATTAGAACTTTCGACAAGTTGATTCCCACGTTACCATTCTTATATTTCTGTTCCATAACGAAATAATATGAAAACCGATTTATACATAGTATAACTTTTACACAACAAGATACCAAACAATCATATACGGTTTTCGGGGATCCCAATTCAACAATACAAAATACACAATAATATCCTTTACACTTCTACCCAACCAATCTACACCAAGAACCTATTGTCCCAACGACCCTCTATGGTTTATCCCTCTAAGGTTACCTGCAAAAAAAGGTGGAGTAATAAATACTAGAGACTTAGCGAGTTCGGCGCCTGATCTCGGAAATTAAACACCCCAAAGTCCCCAACAGAAAATAGATCAACAAGCAATCAAGCAAACAAACAAACAAGCAAGCAACAATCAATCTAACATGCAATATAAACAATCAAGCAATAACAACAATCAATGACATGCGATTACGATAATTAAATAAATCAGAGATGCAGCGATTATGCAATACTACGATGCATGCAAGGGTAAATGATAACGACAACAACAAAAATCCTATGGCCATGTGAACGATCCTTCCCATCAAACAAGTGAACAGTCCGTTTACAGCCACAAAATCTATAAACGATGTACCACATGGGCCTTCCACGACGGGCAATCTCCGTTACCTCGTCAGGTAACTGTTCGGCCCTTGGGAGCGACCCAGTCTCTCCGAACCCCAAAACAAACAGGGAAGCGCACTCGAACACCACAAAACTCTATATGCAAAGCAACTAAGCTACGACAAATCGTACTTAAGCAATAAGCATATAAACATGAACTATAAATCCGCAACAGTTCTACGATTATCAACCACAATCAACAACAAACAACAACACAACAAGCAAGGAAGCAATCAAGAAGAGAAAGATCGTGTGCCACCACACACGCTTCGGAACTCACTGTGATTAACGGAAGGAATGTGTGATGTGATGTGATGTCTTAGCGGATCTTGACTAGATCAGAAGTCTTCAACTTTGGAACGGCTCTCGGAAACTCCTTCTTCTTCCGGAACTCGTCCACGGACTTGCTCACAGAGACTGGCGCGGACTCCGGAAGCTCGTCCTCCTCCTCCCTCCGTCGGCTTCTTGGTGGTCAGGCAGCACTTCACCAGAACGTTTTTAGAGAGTTTTCTCACGAACTCTCTTCGTTTTGGAGTGAATGCCTCAAGCCTCCAAGCCACGGTATTTATAGGGGAGGAAGGTTGGTGCATGGCGGACACATGTCACGCCTCCGGCGACACATGGCGGAGCGGTCCAAACCCCGTCACATCGCACGTGACAAATGGCGACGGACTTAGACCCTCGTCAATTCGATCCTCCCGATTGGTGGAGAGCTTCAACCCTCGTCACATCGCTTGTGACAAATGGCGGTACACTTAAACCTTCGTCAAATCGATTCTCCCAATTGGCGGAGAGCTTCAACCCTCGTCACATCGCTCGTGAAAAATAGCGAAACAACCACAGTCTCGTCAAATCGTCTCCTCTGGTTGGCGAAGAGCTTCAACCCTCGTCACATCGCTTGTGACAAATGGCAGTACACTTAAATCCTCGTCAAATCGATTCTCCCAATTGGCGGAGAGCTTCAACCCTCGTCACATCGCTCGTGACAAATGGCGAAACAACCACAGTCTCGTCAAATCGTCTCCTCTGGTTGGCGGAGAGCTTCCACCCTCGTCACATCGCTCGTGATAATTGGCAAAACAACCACTGTCTCGTCAAATCGTCTCCTCCGGTTGGCGGAGAGCTTCCACCCTCGTCACATCGCTCGTGACAAATGGCGTAACAACCACAGCCTCGTCAAATCGTCTCCTCCGGTTGGCGGAGAGCTTCCACCCACGTCACATCGCTCGTGACAAATGGCGGCAATTTTCTTCCGACGACGACTACACATACAACAAATCCCTTAAATCAGGAGATCTTGTCTCCAAAAATCTTTCTCGAGATTTGGCCTCCAAATATTTATCTCTTCCATCCAATTAATTTTTCTTAACTCCGTTCGCACAATACGACACGGTTTACGCTTGGTCCGATCCTTCAACAACATCCGATCGCGACCGAAAACTATTTTTGTCAAGTAAATAATTTTTACTCAACATTCTCTACAAACTTTAACGATTATAAGTCCTCCCCTGACATCTTATGACCTTCTTTAAATTTCTAAAATTATCGAACACGGCGTAACGCCCACCGGTCGATCTACGACAAACTTTTCTCGTACCGAAACCATCTTTTCTCGGTAACTATTATTTTTCTTTGATGATTAAGTCCCCTTTCATGCTTCCGATAATTACTAACGAAAGCCGAACTCTTTTCCTTAACTTCAAAATTTTAGTCTGGCCCGCGACTTCACGATCGTCCGTCCCGACTGTTCTTATGTCAAAGTACGGGTTACTACATTCACCCCCTCTCATTGGAATTCCCAATCAGAGAAATCGTCAACGTTCCTAACTTCAGTGAGAACTTCCTCCTTTCAGACTCTTCATCATTGAGCTCTTTGGTTACTCCAATCTTTTAAACTTCTCAACTTTATCAAATCGGAGCTCTACTCTTTTCCCCAAAGTTATCGGTTTTGGATTCTCTCTAATCCTTACAGATTATCTCCAACCTGATTCATAGAACTCAATTTCTATAATCAAATGAATTTCTCAACCACTCTTAACTCCTTATCTCGTGAATTTCGAAAAAATACAAGGCTTTTTCTCCTCTTCCTTTGGATGAATTTTCAACTCAAATACCCATCAACTCTACCTTCGTATACCGATCATAACCTCATGATCGATCACACACGTTAAGTTTAAATCCTTTGTAGATTCAACACTTGGATCTACACTCATTCTCGAAGATCAACACTTCTTGAATTGAACACAAAAACAACGCATCATGGTAAACCCGCGATCCTTTAACTTGATATGGTTCCTTTCCTTTCCTTACACAATTTCATACTTGATCGTTTAATTTCAAGAATTTCGTCACTTGAGACTTAAACATCACAATACCACTTTAGTTATCTCACATAGATAAACTAAAACTTTTTCAAACACTTCAAAATTCACACATTTTTGAAAGTTTTCTTTACAACACTCATCCTTTTTCCATAGATGATTAAATAATATCACAACACAAAATTTCTTTTTTGTACTTCCATGTACATTCATACATCACAACACAAAATTTCCGCACCACATCACCACATTTTTCCTTTTCACAACACAACACAACATACAAAGTTATCCAACGATAAGACTTTGTTCAATCCATAAACATATCTTACATTCATATCATACATCCTTTCTTACAAAGGTGGGTTTACACATACCCATTTAAACTTTCTAACAATGCGGATTTATAACCATTACACACTTGCTTCCATACTCTTCGTCGAAGCGATTACAAACCAAATATTACAAACCTAAATGCAATGCTAGAATGAAATGCAACACGGAATCATACAATGAGTTAGAACCCTTACTTACCTCGCCGGAACCCAACGGTCTGAAGGTTTAGGGTAATCCTAGTTAATACTAAGGTTTTTCTTCTTCTTTGCGGACGTACTCGGGCTTGGGCTTGACGGACCGGGATTCTCTGGACGCTTCCTTGGACACACGGTCGCATAATGACCTTCACCTCCACACTCATAACAGATCACGTACGGGCGAGCATAAGGATGATAGTGACGAACATAAGGACAAGCTCTCGTGTAATGACCATCTTGGCCGCAAGTGAAACAGAACGGCGTCACACTATAAGGTTCGGACCTACGTCCATCCTCATGCTCCAACTCAGTCACAACGGTTCCATCCGCGGATCTCCTTATGCTTTCATTCCAAACGGACATACCTTTGGGTGGTCGGATCGGTTCAATACCAAGGGTACCTGCAGCAATCATGTTTTCAATCATCGTAGCCATTGAACTAGATCCCAAAGTCACCGGCTCACAAAGCGACTCATCCGGAGGAAACAACACTCCCGGCTCCTCAACAGGCGGCAGAGTATCTGGTAAAGTCTCATACTCAAACGTCGGATCCGGTACTTGTTCATCAACTTCCTCATCAACTTCTTCTTCCTCAAAACTCATATGGAAATCTCACTGTTAGCTCCATCATACCCATCATACCAAGTCCTACTCGCAAATATCCTTGGCGAAAGAGACATCCTCAACTGCTCGCTCTTCACACTGTTGGAAAATGGCACCCCATTACCCAACTCATCCGCATCGGATAACTCACTATCCGACGAGATCTCAACAAAGTTCGAAGTCGGCGGACTAGGCGGTGTAGCAAATTCGACATCAGGCGACACCATGTTGTAAGCCAGCGCTTGCCTAGGAATCGCAAATTCTGTCGGCATGAACACAACATAGTCAGAATCGCGCGAGGCATTACCTCTTGAAGGTGCATCAGAAACACCAAAGTCTGTTCCTAAGGACATTTAGCTGAACGAATCCAACGTCAACAAGCTATCCGGCGTCGGAGGATAATAGTACGGATTCGCATGAACTCCTGGCTGCCACGAGTCATCAGAATTGAACTCATACAAAACTTCATTGGGGCCTTCCCACATAGGCTCATCAATATCGCTATCTCCGAAGAGAAAACCAGTCGCCATCTGCTCTTCAGACTCTTCCGAAGAATCACCATCAGAATCATCGGAAAGCACCACAAAGTCAGTGATCGGGACTTTCCCAAAACTTCCTCCCAAAGCAACCAAAGGGACAAATTCTTCAGACTCTGCACTAGTCTCGACATCGTCATCCTCAAACTCATCAAGATCTTCCGAAGGGTCAGTCTCAACAGAACTATCTGATCCTTCCATCTCCCTCGTAGGAATGGATTCAACCGAGGTCATTGAAGGACTCGTAGCCATGAAAGACTCCGATTCGGATCCCTCTAACATTCGCCTCACATGTTCCGACGGAATCATAGAATCGTCAGAACTACCATCATTATTCCCGTACGGATTGTTACTCGGTCCAGCACTTGACAAAAATCCCCACGGTCGTCCACCTCGAAGCCTAGTATGTCGCGACGGCATTTGCATCACCAAAACAAGGTTAGTCCTAAAATTCCCATCTACTTAAATCCCACGTTGGAACAACTTGGTTTATCCTAAGGTAGAAGTGCGACTCTAATTTTGACTCGATAAAACGTTTGAAAAGCGGGATGGTTCCCGAGCATCTGTTACCATGCTCTGATACCACCTAAAACTGTAGCGACCATGAACCGTACTAGAAATAAGTCCGGCTAGGCGTGTACAGGTGACAAGTACTTCGTACGAGCGGACCGGAGTTTTAGCACACAACTAGCACCCCAGTCTACCAATACTTAGTACCGTCCCTTCCAAACCCGATATTAGGCTTGCCAACCCTCTACCGAAAAAAAAAGTTATGCGGTTCGGACAGAAACCTTATATCATCAAACCATCCCTATTTTTATGAAAACCGATTTATACATAGTATAACTTTTACACAACAAGATACCAAACAATCATATACGGTTTTCGGGGATCCCAATTCAACAATACATAATACACAATAATATCCTTTACACTTCTACCCAACCAATCTATACCAAGAACCTATTGTCCCAACGACCCTCTATGGTTTATCCCTCTAAGGTTACTTGCAACAAAAAGGTAGAGTCATAAATACTAGAGACTTAGCGAGTTCGGCGCATGATCACGGAAATTAAACACCCCAAAGTCCCCAACAGAAAATAGATCAACAAGCAATCAAGCAAACAAACAAACAAGCAAGCAACAATCAATCTAACATGCAACCTAAACAATCAAGCAATAACAAAAATCAATGACATACGATTATGACAATTAAATAAATCAGAGATGCAGCGATTATTCAATACTACGATGCATGCAAGGGTAAATGATAACGACAACAACAAAAATCCTATGGCCATGTGAACGATCCTTCCCATCAAACAAGTGAACAGTCCGTTTACAGCCACAAAATCTATAAACGATGTACCACATGGGCCTTCCACGACGGGCAATCTCCGTTACCTCGTCAGGTAACTGTTCGGCCCTTGGGAGCGACCCAGTCTCTCCGAACCCCAAAACAAACAGGGAAGCGCACTCGAGCACCACAAAACTCTATATGCAAAGCAACTAAGCTACGACAAATCGTACTTAAGCAATAAGCATATAAACATGAACTATAAATCCGCAACAGTTCTACGATTATCAACCACAATCAACAACAAACAACAACACAACAAGCAATCAAGAAGAGAAAGATCGTGTGCCACCACACACGCTCTGGAAGCTCGTCCTCCTCCTCCCTCCGTCAGCTGCTTGGCGGTCAGGCAGCACTTCACCGGAATGTTTTCAAAGAGTTTTCTCACGAACTCTCTTCGTTTTGGAGTGAATGCCTCAAGCCTCCAAGCCACGGTATTTATAGGGGAGGAAGGTTGGCGCATGGCGGACACATGTCACGCCTCCGGCGACACATGGCGGAGCGCTCCAAACCCCCGTCACATCGCACGTGACAAATGGCGACGGACTTAGACCCTCGTCAATTCGGTCCTCCCGATTGGTGGAGAGCTTCAACCCTCGTCACATCGCTTGTGAGAAATGGCGGTACACTTAAACCCTCGTCAAATCAATTCTCCCGATTGGCGGAGAGCTTCAACCCTCGTAACATCGCTCGTGACAAATGGCGAAACAACCACAGTCTCGTCAAATCGTTTCCTCTGGTTGGCGGAGAGCTTCCACCCTCGTCACATCGCTCGTGACAAATGGCGAAACAACCACTGTCTCGTCAAATCGTCTCCTCTGGTTGGCGGAGAGCTTCCACCCTCGTCACATCGCTCGTGACAAATGGCATAACAACCACAGTCTCGTCAAATCGTCTCCTCCGATTGGCGGAGAGCTTCTACCCTCATCACATCGCTCGTGACAAATGGCGGAACAACCACAGTCTCGTCAAATCGTCTCCTCCAGTTGGCGGAGAGCTTCCACCCTCGGCACATCGCTCGTGACAAATGGCGGCAATTTTCGTCCGACGGCGACTACACGATCGTTCGTCCCGACTGTTCTTATGTCAAAGTACGGGCTACTACAACGTTAGTACAACTCCTTCCATCAATGATGAGGCTGCAAACTTTTCCTTGTACATGACATCGCGTGTGAAACAAGTTTTCTCGCTGTTCTTGCTCTTCGCTCTTAGTTTGGACGCTTAAAGTTCTCCTAGCTACCAACAACTCTCCTTTAGCGGGCAGCTCTTCATTTGCTTCCAACGAAGTAGGTGAATTTGGAGTCTCTTCTTCGGATTCTATATCTCCATTATCTAGAAGAATCATGACTCTTTTGTTGGGACATTCATTCGCATAATGCCCTTTTCTTTGACATTTATAACACCTCACATCACGAACTCTAGATGTAGTAAACCTCAGCTTTTCCTTTGTGATCTTGAACTGCAGCATATGGTTTACTTTCAGCCCTCGAATTGACAAACGGCTTGCTCTCTCTTTGATAGCTGCTAGTTCTCTCCTCTCTTGGATAACTAGGCTTACTAGCAACAGTTCCTGAACCATAACTAGATCTTGACGAACTCTTTCTCTTAATTTGCTGCTCAAACAGAATTGCTTTGTGCAACATCTCTTCCATTTCCATGTAGTGTTGGGTCTCCAATCTGTCTTGAATTTCTCTGTTTAAACCCCCTAGAAACCTTGACATAGTTGCCTCTAGATCTTCTGAGATATCCGCCCGCAACATCAAAGTCTCCATTTCCTTGTAATACTCTTCAACAGAACGACTCCCTTGTGTAAGATTCTTCAATTTTAGATGCAGCTCACGGTGGTAATGACAAGGAACAAATCTCTTCCTCATGATAACTTTCATTTCAGACCAAGATTCCAGTGGAAGCTCTTGGTTACGTCTCCTTGAAGTAACTAGCTGATCCCACCAACTTAGAGCATAATCATAAAATTCAGTTGCAGCAACTCTTACTCTATTGATCTCGGTAGTGCTGAAGGTTGAAAACAATTTCAATCTTTTTTTCCCATTCCAAATACGCATCAGGATCATTCTTTCCATAGAATGGTGGACTTTTAAGCTTTAAACCTCCCAAGATTGTCTTGCAAAAGATCTCTGCCTTCTCTTGCATGTCTATGGTACCTCTTTTGAGTTTCTCGAGATGAACTGCTCATATGGCCATAATATTGATCTGTTGCTTCATCCCTACGTTGTACAGGCTGTTCATGAGTTTTCCTTAGTTCTCTTGAGCGATTTTTCCCTGAATCTAATTTCTCATGAAACTCTTGGCGCATAGCTTCCAATTCAGCTTTCATCATTTGCTTCATAGCTTCAATCAAAAGTTTGTTGTTCCGATTGTGGCTAGTCTCCTCCTCATCGGATTCAGCCATCCTATCTACAAGTGAAACAACAAAACAACACCAGTAACTAGTTCTTTTTGAAATAAACACGAAATGACTCTTCAAATGCCACCAAATTCTCCTAGAACCCTAATCACGACTGTTTGACTTGTTCGGACTCTAAAAATTATCAAATCACGCAGCAAAATTCCAGAAATAATTTTAGAAAATACTAGACACTTTTTCGAATCCGTGACAGTTTATTTCGCAATTTTAGCAGATACCAAATAATTATGAAAATTAATACAACGTGACAGACGAAACTGAGAAGATGAACAAACAAGGAATGATAGTGATAGAATACTCAACTTTCAGAGTGTGCTCTGATACCACTTGACACGATCCTCCCGAGGACTCGGCACTCTTGAGTTGATCAAGGATAGATATGGCTGTGAAGCCGTGATGATGGATAGATTTTGAATGATCGATGGATATCACAGAAGCTTGGGGAAGAGCTTTACGATACCGAAACTTAGATTCTTTGGATATACGCACCAAAAGAGACTAAGGGTTTTGCTGGATATACACACCAACAAGATGATCTTCTTAGAAAAGGTTTTTGATAAAAAGAAAGATGAGTTCTCATAAGAGATTACAAGAGAATATATAGAGAAGGAGAAGAGAAGAGAATGTAGAAAACGAGACAAGTCTTGGAACATGCTCCAAGGCTGCCTAGAAAACACAAGAGAAATTAAAATAGAGTTTGAATTTGAAAAATAACCCTTCAACTTCAAAGGCCACAAAATTGTCTCATTATTTAGTGGGATTGGGTCTTGAATCATCAAAATAGATTATATGAAGTGAAAACATAAGCCTCATTAAAAACCTCCCTTTGGAAAACCCAGTGGGACAAAACCAAAGGCAGGGAAAAAGAGCACTCATGAATCACTTATCCATTTTGATGAGGTCCTTGAGCATGGATCAAAACCAATGAGGTAGTGACTTGGCTCAAGTCATTTGGTCGGTCCCAAATGTGGTTAAGCATCCCTCCAATGGCTTAGTTGAATAGCTTAACTCTAGAACGAGTCATTGGACCAGTTAGTGCGATCAAAGCTTCCTCGGCTACAAGCTCCTCCTCAGCTACAAGCTTAGCTCCTTCAGCTCCTTCAGCTCCTTCCTCAGCTACAAGCTCACGTTCAAGCTCTAGTTCATGCTCCACATCCTTAGTGCTGTCCAAGATCATATCATTAGAACTCACATGGAAAGATTTTCGGACCAAACGAGTGGTTAAAGACAATTCTAGACACGTCCCAAACCACCAATTAATTCACCTAAATTCAACCGTCTATCAGAAAAATTTGTACAATATACCATCAGAAAGATAATTTCAAGATAAATCTTAATCATATATCAGATTTTCCAAAACCAGTTTGAAAGCACCCATACCGGTACAAATTATGATCGGTTTAAATTCAAAACTCAACCAATTCGAAAATATATTTAATCGAGTATTATACATAGACAAACTATCCCAACACCGGTTTTCAAACGTTAAGAACCGGTGTAACTAAATCCCGATTTCATTATGAATCAACAAAATCAAAATATTTACCAATCAGATTCCGATCAATCCCGATTTCCGTTTGATGAGATGTCAATGGCGTTGGATCCGCATGAACGAGAGCTTTCTAACAAGGTATAGATCAAGTTCTAATTCTTCCTGAAACAAAATCTACCATTAAAGAACTTGAAGCTCACTTCCATGGAAGAAAATTGAAGAAGGAAGAAGATGAAGCTTACCAACCTCTTCTACCAAAGCTGAAAACAACGCAAAACTAAATCACCAACAACAGAGACCACAACCAACCTAAATCACCACGAATTCTGATCATAAATTATAAAAATATGCAAATCGGAGTTGAGGCAAATAGGATCTCGAAAACTCATTAAAAGTCCAAATCTCTAGGGCTTCGAAACGCATAAATAAGTGCTATTAGGGTTGGAAGGATGAAGATTCGAGTTGCCAAAAACTATCTCTCTGATTTCGGAAAGGATGAAATCGATTTCCATTTCTTTTTCACGTTTTTGCACTTCAGTCCTTAGACTTTTCTCTATTTCTAGATTCTGCCCCATACTTTTGAATTTCTCATAAATTCTCTAGAAATCAGACAGTTTCAAAACTATCAATTTAACCCAAAATATGATTCTTCATTTTCTTTTAATTACGGAGGTTACAAGAGTGGAACTTTATATATATATATATATATATATATATATGATTTACCGATAAAGAAACCGATAAGATGAAAACTTGTTTTTCATTTTGTACTGTAAGTTTATTTTATTTAACAAATAATTTTTAATTTATGGTTTATGAAGTTATTACTAATAAGTATGAAAACCTCACTGTTTTTATCTTCTTCACCTTTCTATTATAATGTTATTTATGGTTTATGAAGTTATTACTAATAAGTGCATGAAAGACTCTTTGGTATATGGAAAACTAAAACACTATGTTGTATCAAAGAGATTAATCATGTTTTCTTTATACATAATAAATCACATCAAAACTATACAATTTATATCATCTAAAATATTAATTTTATTTAAAATTCTGCGTCGATTCTATACAAATTAGCTTATATACGAAAAAAATCAACATGCTAACTTAATACTAATCATAATTCGAAAACAGTCATTAAATATAGTCTTGCAAAAGTGGTGGATAATATAAAATAAAAAATATATCTTAGACAATAATAATAAATCACCTTTTTTTTTGCGCGTTTTACATCACTTCAACAATTTCCTATGTTGCAGACTAGCAAATACTTGTAATAATAACAATAATTGTAATCATAGACGGACAATTCTCATTAATGTTGAGAATCATTCTAACAAGGTGAATGATCCTGATGTGAAAATGGTAAGCAAAGACAAACAACACATTGTTTGGTATCAAGCCTTCGAAGGTATTCACTAGGCTATAAAAATTTGTTTATCAACTACTTTACTATATTATGCCTGTTCACTATTTGTATTAGATTTAT